TGTGTTATTGTCTTGATGTTCTATAGATGGAACAGTTTGTATTGCTAAGATAAATTGATCAAAGAATAATTTAAAAAGCATGGAAAATACTGTTTTCAGTTGTTGATTGTTTTAAGTGTAGGTTTATTTATATATGCCGTTGGCGGACATTTAAGTACACCTCTTCGGTTATAGTATGATGTAAAGTTGATTTTAAACGAATCGTTCTAAAAATACGAAAATTACACGGTTTCGTGTAGTTTTTTACCTGGACTTTCTTTTGAGTGGCATACTTGTAAAATTAAAGTCTTTGTTTCGCTAAGAGCAACTTCCACAGACTGTCTATTTCTAAATTTTATGAATAGTAATATTACCTCTTTGGCGTACTGTAATTCTTAGATTTGAAATATTATCGACATATGTCACAAAGTATACATATTATGTATACCACTTTGTGGATCTATAAGTCTCTATATAATCTATATAGAGGTAGATATATCTCTATAGATCTATATAAATCTATAAGGGGGTAATGCATGGGTAAGCCGGCCCCATCAGGATAGGTTAGGTTAGACAGTCTGAAATAACGTACAGACAATGGAAAGACGAAATGGAAATGGCGATAAGAGGCATTAACAGATAATGTGTTGCGCCATCAGTTAAAGGGGTCTAAATTCAAATCCATCTTTCTAATCAATTCCGGCTTCAAAGATTGACAAATAATAAAGGATTCGCCAATATCTTAACATTACTAGATGGAGTGTCCTAAGCCTAGTAATAGAAGAGAATCTGTTCCCTTGACAGTGTAGGCTGATCTTTCGTTGTAGCCAATGACGTTGTGCACCATACAGGTCGGTGAAATTGGAATTTTGAGCAATATATCCTATCTTAAAGTACGCCGTGTCACTTGTTCGACTTACACTATTCCATTGGGTCAACGCTCGGTGGGTCCGTGAGGCCTTCTCGTGAACAGATCTGTATCTTCACGTCAAACAATAACACTGCAGAGATCGCCCGATTCCCGATTCCTGATCCAGCTCCGATTCCGCCGTTTCGGCCGTCGTAAATAACGCAAAACCATCTGTTAGTGATATTCCGATCGCCTTGATGCGGTTTCAGATCGGATCAAGAATGTAGAATTATTAGGTCGCATTGATTTCGTTTCGTAGACGTTGGACCGAGTCGACGACTGTTGGAGTTGACGGTTTGAGTTAGGGAGCTTGACGATATAAAGTTTAAAAGTCAGAGGTGAAAAGTAGTTTTGTGGAATAAATCCCACCCTAAAGCACGTGTGTCACTTGTTTGGCCGTCACACTATATCCTGGAATTGTTCACAATTAGAAATAATTGTTTATAGGGTTTCAAATTTCACAACTAGTGATACTTTTAAAATCTGTCAATTATAGAGATGATGCAATAGAAATCAGGTGTCTGTATAAAACGCAAAGACGAAAACTAGATTTGGGTTTGGATGTTCCCTAGTATAGGGAAACCCCTCTATAATGGAACGTAAAATGGAAGTTACTATGCGTGCGTCGCTTTTGCTCCGCGGTTGAAGGCTAATTTATTCACATCACTTTTGTTCCGGGTGTCAGCAGGTAGATTTCGGGGCCGGCCGAAACTTCGCTTTCATTCCGCGGACATCTCTCTTATTCCTCGAGAGACGCCCTCCCCCAAATACTCTCTTTCGCTCTCCTCCTAATTCTTTCTGTCATATGTTAGGTTAGGTTGAATTATTTAAATTATTGATATTTTGTTAAGGAGAAAGATCTAGGAGGAGGGTGAAAGAGAGGATTTGGGCGAGGGAGAGTGCAGCCCCCTCTCGCGCGGAACAAGAGAGATGTCCGCGGAACAAAAGTGATGTTTGGGCTGGCCCCGAAATCTAATAGCTGACCCCCGGAACAAAAGTGATGTGAAGAAATTAGCCTTCAACCGCGGAACAAAAGTGAAACAGCCGTTACTATAGAACTTTCTTGCCATTACCTTTCTAAGAAACAAATCGTGTTATAATCGAATCACAAGGCAAATACGCTGACTTATTCATTTTAGTCTGAATATCTCATAACATTACCAATCCCACCATTGTACTCAATTCACCCTTGTTGTACCCAGTACAACAAGGCGCAATGCTGTCCCTCAAATTCATCAGTTGGTCGTACATTAACCTCCTCACTTGAAAGTGGATCTCCAAACCTGTTGGTAATTATTTAGATGAGCCGGGAAGATGACGCCGGATGACATCATATTTGTAGACATTCCCTGCTGAATCACCGCCTCAGCGGCCACTGACCGTCGCGCCCCTGGCGGCCGGGGGCGACACTTAACCTTGGCCTGCTTCCAGCTTCTTACGCCTTCTGTTATTTATTGAGGCTTTCAAACTTTTCGCCTACTTATCTCAAAATTTCTTGGGAATGTGTAGAGTTGCCGTACGAATAGAGTGTTTTCCAAAGAGTTAACAGATGGGGAATTTGCTAATTTTTGTCTTAATGGTGAGAGATTCATGAGAAGTTACCATTTGGTTGTTTTGGGGATTTGATCTTGTCGTGCAATTTATAGGGAGGCGTTGAAGACTATTTTTAAACCCGAAAGTTTACTAAAACCACCAAGCAGGAATTATTTCACCCTGAGAAATAGATTTTAAGTTTGATTGAGTGTTATCATTGACTATTGGATTAATAGTCAAAGGTGTTATATGAAAGGGGTCCTTTTACTGTATATATTGACTTTTTGCCAAATTCTAATGTTTGGCAAAATTAGTTAAGCACACGATGATATTTTGTGTACGAGTAGAACAATAAAAGTAACTGTGATTATTACACATATTCTAGAAGAACCCCAATGGAAAAACTATAGATAGCAAACCAATCAAAATTTGACAGTAAAAACCTTGCAAGCTATCTTGGTGTTCCACGTTTATTTAATTGGTTGCATCCCCCAAAAAGAAGTAATTGATTGAACATAGTGACCTCTGAAGATGCCACAACTTGTGGTGAAATGCGCATAAGGACATAACTATACACTTTAGGATCTCAAGGCATCTACAAAACAAAAAGGTAGGCTAACTTACTAAAGTGAATTTCACTACTGAGCAAGACATTGTGGTGTAAAGATCCATGTTATGAATATGGTTAGCCTAAATCCTTTAAATAATTGTATGTAATTACTTAGATTGCTAAATCGGTTGAAGAGTTTTCACACCACTAGATCAAGTTCCATATAATTGATCCTAATAAAAATATTCGAAATCAATTTAATGGTACCAAGATTTGTGTACATACATATATGCAAACTGATTCTATAAATTGTGCATTGTATTTGTACCCGGGCAAAGCTGGGGTTTGTTGCTACCTTTGTTTGATAATGCAAGATACTCCTTGACAAATTAAGAAGTTGCTGTAATTAATGCATATATTATATTTATCCATCCTCAGTTTTTGGATAAAATCCATCTAATAACTAAGTTTCTATCCTTTGAAATATAAAAAATCTAGGATTGTAAATGGGATTAAAAAACATAATACACCATTATCAAAGTATCAAATAATTTATTTTACTTTTGCTCTCAGCACTGACAATAATGCTGTACAATGAAAAGTTATACAATAATCCTAACGTCATTACAAATAAATAATGCAATAAATATTTCTCAACATAAAATAAATACTCAATCGATAATAAGAGTTAGTCAAAGTCGGATGATTTAGGAAATCGCAGACTAGTAATCAACGATTTACTATATCACCCGAGTAGAATCAAGGACAAGAATCGAACCTATAAATGGCAGTACTTAAAATTAATTACAAACTCTTAAAGTATATCTGAAAGATTTCATACACGGTTCAAAAGTCGTTCTTGTTTCTAGCTTACTTACGAACTAATCGACTTAAATTAAAAAAGACCACTAAAGTGGAGACATTATGATTAGCACCTCATAATACACGTTATACTGGCAACAGTGGAAGTAGAAAACAGCGTGTATTGCACAATTATCACTAGAGAAGAGTCAAGCCGTAGAAATAAATATAGAATTATAATACATTTCCTAAACGAAACAATTTGTCATACACAAACTACACTAATTCCTCTTTGATTTTGCAACATTTATAATTATCCTATAATATACGCAAATGTACTCGTCGTACACGAATATAGTACACAATTTGAAAGCTGAGATTTATAAAACCGTAAGTGTTTTCACCGAACCAAAAGCTGATATATTGTGCTTCCCTAAAGTAATTTACCGGTATTTTTCCGAACACTTGTTCTTCTATCTTAAAGTACACGTTGGGGTAAAACATCAAACATACTGGAAATTTATACTCAGACTACCAAAATAATCTCGGCTGTAAACGGTATTTACAAAGTATTTTTGTGTGTATTTTGTGTATTTTCCCGTGTCTGTCACCTCGTTAGCGACGGATTATCTTGGTAATATGAGTATTATCACGATCGTACTAGACTCAACGGTTAACTTACAACTAACGAAGCTCTATTTGTACAGCAAACTTATAACAATGAGTCGGTTTACCGGCTGAAAGTCTTACCACAGACATTTTGTATTTTTAACTGTGGCAAAGTTGATTTATTGCCACGGTTAAAAACTATGATGAACTAGGACGGATACAATCCACAAGGAAAAAAGCACCTTTGTTCACTTTGTAGATGGACAGTTAAATGACGTTTGTCTGTGGTTGAACTCTCGGATAGTACACCGAGCATCTTTTAACCTAAAACGAGTTTCTTCATGTTATTTCAAGATTGTGACTCATTTAGTTAATTATCGCTAAAGTATAAAATAAAACATGTAGAGAGGTGAGGGTGGGAATTCTACACTAGGCGGATCATCACAAGAAGGGTAAGCCCCAGCGGCTAGACAAGTCATTGGTGATCCTATAGCTAACACTGTAAAACTTTCGTGGATGTCGTTAACAGTTTGTAATAGAAAAAATCATCCAGGTAGAATACGCTTTTTATATAAAATTTTATAGAATTTCTGTTTACATTTTTAAAAAGGTCAACGTGTTTAAAACTCCTTGTTTGGAGTTCATTTTTGGCGTTGGAAAGTCCAACAGATTATTGCGGACGTTTTCTAAGTAAAAAACAAAGTTTTAACTACGTTTTGTGATATAGAACCTGACCCCTGTACTGAGGTGAGAAAAGAGTAAAAGAATTACAAGATTAGTTTACAAACCTAGCCGAGGCTGGAAGAACACGATAACACAATGCCTTCTGCACTATTCTGAGGGTGGTTCATAGTTTTTTCAACTTCAGCTGAATTTGTGTACTGTTCTGATTTAAATATTGGACGGGGTCAAATTCCAGATACGTAATGCTTTGTTTGCGATGGAATAATGTTCGCAATAATCTGTTAATGTAACTTTAAAACTCTTACTTCGAGCTATAACAAGTTACCGGGCAATTTGGTAATTTGGAATTTCCTAAGAACACACAGATCACCACGAGTCGTCTGGCTGCTAAGACGAACCATTGAGCACTGGATGGCATCTTCAGAACCTCCTGGCATACCCCGTGTCGTACAGTTTGCAGAGGCTGTCCGTGCGAGAAGCACTGAGGTTGAGTCCCTCGGATAGATAGGGCGTGTTCTTGTAGCTCTTGCGCTGCCAGACGCACGTCCAGGCGACGATGACCGCCAGTTGAACCGCGAGGAAGACAACACCGGCGATCACCACGCCGATGAAGCTTATGCACAAACTGTCATGGTCGCCCTCCAGGTATATCGAGCTCATCTCGTCACCGTACCGCGCCGCACCCACAGACTTGTTACGGTTGAACCCGAACTTGTCCGTGATCTGGATGGACTGCACGAGTAGGAGGTCCTCTCGCGAAGTGCTGCGTCGCCGCCGCCGCTTGCCGAAGGACTGGACGCTCCTCAGCTCCCCGCTGTTGTCCTCTTGGTCACATTGGACGGGTTCGCAGGTCGGCATGCAAGGAGTGACCAGGGCGCGGAACTGCACCACCTCGGAGGACGGGAATTTGAATGCGTCAAAGTACGAGAGGAGCACCTGGAAAACAAATTGAGTGTTGGTATTAATATTACTTAATCGACGTCAAAGAATGTACTATTTTCGAGAACCCTGCCTAAAAAATATCGTCAAACCACAATTCAGACAGATGAACCATGGTATATTATATATAATTTTAATTTGGTATTCGTTTTCTGAGGAAATTGAACAAATTATATCCTTATGTGAGGTCAGATTAGCCTAGTTGTATATTACCTAATCTAATAGTAGATGATTTATAATCTAATTAGATCAGATATTAGATATACGAAGCTGATGCACAAGGATGTGTATTTAGGCGAAGATGAGTGAAGGAGATTATATCCTTGTTATTGATCAAGATCAGAGGGTTCTTTCATAATTATTAAGAAACATTTCTGCATGATAAAATTTCGTCATACAAATAAAACTGCGCTATTAAAAAACTGAAACAATACAGTAAAGCATATTCCAAAATAAATGTTCCTTGAGAAAATAGCTGAATCTCGAGATAATTTTAAATATTCAGCACTTGTCAACGAAACAGCACGTTATAATACCTATTGTCACTGCCTACGTAAGTAAATCCTTTACCTTGCCAGTATCGACCGACTTGTAGAGAGGGCCCATGATGAAGTGGTCTGTAGGGCAGCCGTCCGAGTCAATGAGCACGATCTCGCTGGAGTCCACGCCGTCCATGGCGACCAACTCTCGCACGAAGATCTCGTACGGGGAGTTCTTGTCCATGATCTCGAACCTGAGCGCCAGCGGGTCTCCTACCTCGGCCGAGGGCAGAACCTCAGCTCCGTGGCGGTCTGTGATCTTCATCGCCACGTTGGGAGAGTCGACAATAACCTGAAAGTCACATTGGATATTGTTAAGTGTGTCGGCAACATTCATTATGTATTAAAAAAAACTCTTGATCCTTAGAACAGCGTAAAATAAAGTATAAAGTCAAATACAATAATTAGTACAAATAATTAGACTAAACTAGCAGAATAATAAAAAATTCCCGAATGCCTGAGCTTTTACATTAGAACTGGTCTGCAAGGTCTACATTACTGTCATAAAATGTGTGTCTTGGAGTTTGACATTTACAAATCAGTAACAAACCCCAGTTTTCAACAGTTATACATTCTCAATAACATACTCCAGTTCAAGTCGAATATTGTTTTAACACCCTACTAAAACAAGGGAATACATTCGGATCTGCACAGCTGATGACGAAGACAACGACCAGTCTGTTCAACTTTGCGTACCCGTAGGCTTATAAAACCAATAGTTATTTGTGTAACTAGTGGTGAAAGTGGCACTTTGCTGCACACGAGAGCAATGTTTACGCACGAGCCGCAGGCGAGTGCGGAATGATCTCGAGTGCAGCAAAGGCCTTTTTCACTCGTGTTACACATTATATTTTTCCTACAGTCACTATAAAACATAAATAATTAGTCTTTCAAACACTATACAACACGTTTTTAGGTTCAGCTAGCAACACAATTACACAAATGGTGCCCTGGAGAAAGTAGTACCCGTGGTCCGTATCACTCCGCTATTTTTCATCGGCAAGAAATGTGCTCCGTCTTTTGAGAATATAGTTCCGTATGTTTTTGTAATTTGAAGTGGTTTCCGCGCCTAAAAAAAATGCTTTAAAGGTATTTTCTTGTTTATTAAGACCGTAGGAATGTTTTAAAAACGTTTAAAAGAAAAGTCCAGAAAGTTCAGAAATACCAAAACTATAAACACGAAATGACAGGTTAAATCGTAGTTATAATAGTCAATCAGCTGTTCATAGTATTATTATCTTTAAGTGTTGCCAACCTATTTCCAAGCGTACACGGATTACGTGCATAATAAAACCACGCTGTTTTGTGTTGTTTGGTTGGAATCCTGATGTGCGGCAAAGTATAAACCGTGCGGCAAAGTATAAACCGTGCGGCAAAGTATAAATATGCAGCAATTAGCAGCTTTCTGTACTATAAACAGTACAGGGAAGCCAACTTTGTCGGGTGACTGTAGGAAAAAGTATTTATTTATATGTCGTGTGTGGAAATTTAACATGTCGTGTATGCAAACCATCAATGAAGCTAGTAAAGCGGATTTAGTCTATTTTCTGGACTAATATTTTAAACAATTGCATCCCGTTGAAACATGTAACACCTCGATTGTTACCATTTGGAACAACTGACTGTAAAGCTGGTCCTGTATGTTTTATCTATGCTGTAACTTAATTAGTCGGTAACTTTTCAAATTATGTTCATACTATCGTACATGATGAAGGTACAAACCTCCTCAGTGAGGGCTGGCCGCACGTCTCCGTGTACTCCAAGGTCCACCTCGTTGCTCACACTCTTGTTGGTCAGGTCGTACTGGCAAGTGACCGCCAACCCGAGGTCTGAACTGGTCACTATAGTGTCGTGGTGTTGAATCACTACGTCGTTTAGGTACCTGCAGACAAATGTGGGTATGTACATTTAGAGTATGCCTCACGTCTAAATTGATATTTCATCGAAACGTGTACAAAATAAAAGATTATTTTCGTGCATCTCATTTGAGAAAGACTTTAGTAAAGACAGACTGACACATGCTGCGATTGAAGCCATCAGCAATGAGCCCGAAACGTCAGTTGTAAGTTTATGTGTTCCGGCCGGACCCTGAAGATCAAGTTTGTACGAAAGCATTAGCTTTGATGTAAAAAAGGCTTTCTTAAAAAGGGTAATGGAATTTCAGTGTAACTGGATTCTTTGCCTTAATAATACCATTAAGTCTATGATAATGGCAGCGATTGCCAGCTTTTATTTGCCGTGGTCATAAACTGTCAAAACCGTCAGGTTGACCGAGTACTGTTTGAATCCCCAGAGCGTGAGAGTGATTCAGGGGAGGGGTATTAGCGACGAGCTTCGTCAAAGTTTTTAGGTAACGGCACTCGGCCCTGCACTATATGATAATATGTTTTCCTGGAGTAACTAAATCTTATCAAGCGTTAAGAGTATTCCCTAATAATCTAACTTAAAACCAAAATTATGAAACTTCTTCATCAAACAAGTTCAAATACTAGGTAACTTAACTATCATTAACCTTTTACTCACCTGCCCAAACCTTGATGCTTGACGTTGCACTCGACGTCGTCGTAAGCCATGCGCAGCTCAAACTCCAAGCTTCCTCGCACATCTTGTACGCACGAGTTGGGACTACCCTTGGCGTAGATCTTGCCACTGAACAACTTGCTGGTCTTGATCCTCGCCACCATGTCTCCGGACCTGCAGTCGATGCTGACGTTGTAGCAGGCACTCAGCTCGTAGGTAGAGGCCTCCGGCACGTCCAGATATGGGTCCTGCAAAATGTTTAGCAAGGGTTAGTTTAGATCGAAGATTTTAGGATGTCAACTATGAAAAATCCATGGGATGGTTTTAACCACATTTTGATTATTGTAATTTTTAAGAGCTTGAATGTATCAAGTGCAAAGGGTGGGTGGGTAAAGTACAAGAGTGTGAACTAATCCGATAAAAATTATTAGCTGCGGAAGTTTAAGTCACGTAATTGCCGCCTGGGGTTTGTAGTTATTAAGAATCATATCAACAACTCGGAAACAAGAAAAATTAACTTTAATAAGAAACGTAACCACCTTTGTTCGTACAACCATGGAACGTTTATACCAGCAAACCAAACCACAGTACCAGCGGTTTAATTGTAAGACATTTAGTTAAAGCTCACGAATGTGCTCAATTTACTTTCAGCACATCTATTTCTGATTATGTGCGTTTATACGACGAACTGGAACAGTGACATTCGAATGCAACGAGAAGCGCCAATTAAAAATCCGACACGCGAACGCAGAAGAATGGCTGATAAAAGCGACATTCGCATAGGAAGATCCGTTAGAACGGAGACATGTCAATCCGGAGCCAATTGAACTGGGTGTTTTATGGGTCAGTAATACAATGCGGCATTAATATGGAGGGAATGGAATATTCGTGGATGGGAACGCTGTGAAACCGGCGCATTGTGAACACAATGGTCCGCGACCGCTTCATTGTGGAATGATGGCAATAAGCTTGCAGTCCTTGCGTGTGTCGCATGTCACAAATCAGCATCTAGGAAACAGTCTGTCCTAGTTCTGGGGTGAAAACTAGTCCTTCGGATGATTGGAGGCGCACCGTTACTAATAGTTTGGACAACGATTGAAAATCTTAACTGAACGTCCTAGAACATCTGTTCTAATGCCGGTTTTCCTAGCTTCTAAATTCGGTTGCGGATTCGGCTGCGTTTTTCCTAGCTGCCGGATTCAGTAGGGTGGGTATTTTGCGGCAGAATACGAGACAGATGACTGACCCAAGTTCAGTCGGTCCCGCACCCCGCAGCGATCTAGATGTTCTCCTTTACTATTTTTCCTAATAGCTGTTCATGCAGTTGTGAATTGTAACGGGTTTCAGTAGTGACAGCGACTTTGTGTTTACAACTTTAACATGTGTCCTACCTGTATGTCGGCGAGCGTGGCCCTGGAGTGATGGCTGAGTCGACACACTTGCTCGCCAGTGTCGCCGTAGTCGTACGAGTGACATCTGTAGGGCGAGTTGAGACACAGATCTCTGCATTCCTCGGCCGAGTCGACCTCTTGGTAGACAGAGTCTACTGTCTTGAGGATCCGTCCACTGAGCTTCTTGAACTCGCACAGTTTGACAGGCTCCTCCACACAGTTGTTCTCCAGGTAGTCGTAGCCCGCGGCGGCGTCGAAGGCTCCGGACCCGGCGACCGTCAGACGGTCCATGTCGGACAACTCGCACTCTCCTGTGGCGTTGTTGTAGTTAGCGGATCTGCAAACAGAAGCAATGTTAGAGACGTCTAGAAGAAATATGAAATGCAATCAGTGGTTGGGCCTGTAGCGGGGTTTATAGCTGCAAATTTGGCCGCCAAATAAGGCTGTGTTTTTGGCACCAGCTGTTCACACAAGGATCAGATACAACCGCCTTAGCTTCAGGATTTGGCAGGTGATGTACCCTGAAAATGCAGGACCTAAAACACTCGCACGACGTTTATAATTTTGCAGCCGAATTGAATTCTTCCTTTTACAGTTACACGATGAAACCAAATTTATGATGGATTATTTTCATCATCAACTGTAAAAATTTTTGTCTTCTAACGATGAACAGTAAAACAGTTTTTCTCAACTAACTCACGTGACAGGGCTTTAAATAAATGGTCCTGCTTAAGAAACAGCTGGTCTTGGTGCGTAGTTACACAGTTCATCTTACTCAATTCTACCCTGATCGTGCATTCATATTCAGCTTAAAATACGGACCAGTGTCCGTCGCCAAATTAAAGAATTTAATTGAATTGATTTCTAACCTAGAACATAGCATTACTATTGTCTAATCTTTGCAAACTCTTATAGGAACTATCTCATTGGTCATTGGTTTGGCAAGCTTAAATTTTTGAACCGGAGTAATTGCATAAACTTAGATATAGATGGTGGGCATCCTCAAGCAACACCTAGGTCTTGGATTCTCACATTACCAAACAATATATCACCCTCTAGTATGTAGGTCTGATCGTGCAGGCGGTGCCGAGGCTCCAAGGTCAGGGTCAGAGATATATGCGACGTTTACGACGCGTCGTGCGTGAGACTTTACGAGAGAAGCCATTGAGTGCGCGCGTGCGCAATACGTTGTGCACCTTACCGCGCCTGCGCACAGCGTACACAGCGTACACAGCGTACAGCGCACAGCGCGCCTAGCACTAGACAGCTCCATTATCTGAGGCTGACTTGTTGAGATTCCACCTCTCCGGTGTCGATTGAAACCCACGACTCGCAATTATATTGTTACAGGTTTACTGTGGCCAGTGTGAAGTGTGAAGTGTCAGTGGTGCGTGTGGGAAGTATTGCGCATGCGTAGATTCCGTGTTTCATGGGGACACTGCGCAATCGTGACTGGTTGACTGTGTGCACCGTTACATTATGTAGAAAAGTAGCTTATGACAAACTATGAGGGTTTATCTTAAGAGTGGCAGTATCCTACCGTCAATTATACCTGCACTAATTCGGGTCTCTCGGGGTGGGCCATAAACCAAGCGTTCCTAAGCGACGAAACGACTGGATAATCTTAACTATCTTACAATAATAATCTGAGTATTTGATTAATATTGTACGGATGAAAGTGTAGATTGTTACTCGTCTTTGATTATTTATCCTTTAAATGTTTAAAACATTCATTAAAGAACAGCTTCTAGTGAAGCATATTACTAAGGATTGTTGCTAATGTCCTTAGGTTACATTCATCACTAGGGAACATCCCGTCACGGGGGGTTGTTCTGGGTCTCCAGGGACGGGCGGACGGGAATCCCGTCCGCCCGTCCCTGGAGACCCAGAACAACCCCCCGTCTGAAGACAGTATTTGTCTAAAGGGGTGACAAAATCAGTAGGTTAGTTGAAAGGTCATCAACACTGAAAATCAATACATTTATATCTGAGAATACAATACATTTCAAGAGTATATTCTTCATTAACGACAAAAATATAGTTTGAACAAAGTTTCATCGGATGAACGATTAAATGTTTTCTTCGCATTTAGAACGTACCAAAGCAATTTTACCTTAGCCAACGCTGCATTAAACTATAGACATTTTCTGATCAGCTTTAGAGGGTTCCTAGCGATTCTGTGTTATCTAAACTAAGATTTTCCCCAAACTCTGCGTTGATTGACACTGATGTACAGGAAGAGGTGAGGTGTATGTGCGAAGTTGCGTGGCCGCACGCCCGTGTGAACGCACGCACTCTGCGATGGGAACGACTTGGATATTCCGTCCGAGTACAGACCAGACCTACCTGGACTCACAATATTCGGATCATCGCCAATGGCAATACTAATGGCAGCTGTACCTGTTGTGGACTGCAAGAATCACTGAAAGTCTCTTGCCAAGTAGGAGTCGCAAGATACGTTTGTGATTCTCGGTTGAATTCATAACGCAAAAGAATAATACCATGTTTGTTTGTATAAGTGTGTAAACAAAATAAGTACTAATAGTTTTACAAAAAGTGTTAGCTGCAATTTAACCGTTACAAATCGACCTTTCGGAGTTATTAGTCTATGTACAACAAATTGCATCTGCGTTTGCTTTTAAATACTTGTTCTTCTGCTGTTTTAGGATTGTCGACTTAACATCGCACTGTTTTAACCTAATAACATCTTCATCTTAAAACTTAAAATAATTCTCAAAACCTTTTGCACAAATAAATTCGCAATCTCAGTATATTCTAATTGATGATTTTGGAGACATTAAACGATAGCAAATATGTTTTCTATGATGTTTCTATAAGAAGCGTTTTTAGGTTTTTTTGTGATTCGAAGTCCCACCATAGAACGTGTACACAAAGATATTTCATGGTAAATAATAATAGTGTATATGCTATAGGCAAAAGCTATGGGGTTTAATTGTTTTTGAGTTGCATTTGAATCGAGATATTTCATTACCGTTGTGTACTTACTTGCTACTACTGTATAGAGGTGTACATTAATATTTAAATTCTCGCGAAGAAATGTTACCTTATTCTGGTCCGTTCTAATATTCGTCTTGTGTTTGGTGATTCATAACCTCAAAGCACGTCTTGTTACCTTGTAGCAATAACCGTTAATCTATTCCGTCCGACGTTCGCTTCAGAAACCACGTTTCTATGATTAATAGTCAGTTTCAGCCAAAATTCGGAACCCACTTCGGAGTCGTAAACGGAATATACGACCTCTGCAGTGCAGGCCGGGCAGTACCGTTAGGACGTATAGCAGGTTTCCCCCGTTGGTTTAAAGCGACTCATTCAACGTAATGTGCAATTTATTTAATCTGGAGATGAATCAGGTGGGCGAAGGTGATGAGATGGACTCGAAAGGTCAGTTTCCGCATCCTCGAACCTTTCCGCTACATTAGTGACCCGGGAGGGAATCCGGGCTAATCCGCACATTAACATTTGACGGGTGTTAGGGTCACTGTTGCGGTCAATGATATTGTAGAGACACCGTTTTGAAAATATGATTAAAAATTGTTTAATTGACATTTATATAACATTCAACTTGTACTACTTCTCAGCCTTCGATGTTGTTCATGCTGGGAATTTTAAGGTAGCATATGTATGTAACTACCGCGTATGTTTTATTTAAACTATTAATCTCACTATACACACTAATTAACCCAAATTAAACAATATATTTATCAACTATTGCTCTCATGGTTTCGTAAAATCAAGTCAGAAGCAAATCAAAATCTACTTCATTAAAGATTTTTAGTTATCATGCATTCTTAAAAAAAAGCGCATAGGCCATGCAAGACATGTGCGCGGGGAGAATCAAAGAGTACAGAACGGAGAAGGCATAGTACAATTTATCTTCAAATTAGAAGTGTTTATCCATACCAACGCTTTCTGTAATTTTTTCTCGTATTCTTAATATTCTGTAATAGACTGAGAAGTCGAATTATTGCAGTATCCAGGAGTGAGAGCTGCTGTTGTAGTAATAGAGCACGAGGTGACCGTTCCCGAGGTTGTTGTCCGATGTTATGGGCTCAAATCCCATCAGTTACCATTGACTTTACCTGTAAGATAACAGGGAACCTCTAAGACTGGAGTAGTGTGTAATAGCGTAAACGTCATGCAGTATCCTAAGCCAGCGTCGAGTAGTATCAATTTGACAACGTATTCGCTCTCTGTGTGGGCGATGGTGGGTGTGTGTACGTGGCGTCGCCAGACACGACACTGGTATCCCGCATCAGTCAATGCTAATGTGGTGTGTATTAACTGAACTACAACGACCTTCTCGTATACACGACCGTAGTTAGACTTTGTAATTCCTCAGACGTGACCTACGAGCTACGATCAGCACCATCGACACCAGCAGTGTCTTGGTACAGATTCCCGCTACTATGGGATTGGGCTATGTCTAGCTAGAGTGTCAGTAGTTGGACTTGTGGTCCAAAACCATAGTTTTCGATTAGGATCAACCCTTCTAATACGCTGTTACAAATCCTAGTCTTTCACGTGAAAGCTTTTTCTTTCAAGTAGGAGATAAATTGTTCGATTGCAGTCTTAGAGGCTGAGGCATTATCGATGAAATTGAACCCGCGAGACCTCCGGGACCGAAGGCTCGCGTTCTACCACTTGGCCCACTCAAAGGTTTACCACTTTTGTCCACCGTGCTCTCCTTCGAGGGCATTTTAAATACAATTTTTATGAAAATATAGCATAGACGAAGTCAAAACGAAGTACAGTACTGTGTATCCCGTTTACAGTACTAAATTAGACCTTTTTCATTCAATATAATTCAAATTTATCGTCGTAATTTTCTAGCACCTGAAAAATAATTCTTGCATTATTAATTAATATGAGTGCTTCTCGAAAACAAGTCAATTTGGGTAATTCACTTGTAAATAATTAATTTCGAACTATTTATTATTAAATTATAGTAAAGTGGTAAATTGTCCACTTGTGTCCTAGAAAAACTTGTCGAATCTAATCTCAAGCTATTATAATGTCGATTATTCTCTAAAAAATATGAGTTTTAATAGCGCGGTATTTGAATTAAACTTGTTGCTCAATTTGCGTGCAAACAAAATTTGCAGTTTTGTTTGTTATGCAGAAATTAGGCTTAATTACATCTTAGCTATTATATCACATCTAAGGAAGAGAGGAATGCACTGGCAACACCGGTTTGGAGGAATTTAATGCCAAGGACACTCGCGATATAATACTTCAACAGTGATTATTTTCGTGTTTGTATCACACACGACAATAGAGTGTAATTATTGTGGGATCTTACTAAGGTCCAGCATAAAC